TTTGGCCTACCTTGCAATTGGTTAACCGATCCGATGCTGGTAGCAGAAATTGGTGGGAAACCAAGACTAGACGCAGCCAGATCCAAAGCTTGAGAATGCAAACGAACGTCGTGGGAACGCCCCCAGCCACGCTTGAGGCTACCGGAACGCTTATTGTAGATGTAGTTTGTTCGGCTGAGAGCGCTGATTTAACGGCAGCGACCACGGAGGCGCGGCCAAAAAGGCAAAGGACGGCACGTCCGGAACGCTAGTCAGATGCGATGGGCTCCCAAACATCGTTCGCAGAAGAAGGAGGAACTTCTGGGATGGCACCCGTTGTCAAAGTGGGCAGTCGTGAATCCAGCGGCAAAAAACCGGCCGCAAGGCTGTTGTTTGTGTTACGTAGAGACATGCGGCGAGTAGAAAACGGTGTGTAACGGCGAAGACGGCAAGAATCCACAATGATTCGCAAGTAGGCAAACATTGATCCGCTACGATCAGCAAGAATCCGCAATGATTCGCAAGTAGGCAAAAATTGATCCGCTACTATCAGCAAGAATCCGCAATGATTCGCAAGAAGGCTAAAAATGATCCGCTACGATCAGCAAGCAACGGCGAAGACGGCAAGAATCCGCAATGATTCGCAAGAAGGCAAACATTGATCCGCGACTATCAGCAAGAATCCGCACTGATTTGCAAGAAGGCTAAGAAATGATCCGCTACAATCAGCAAGCAAAGCTACAATGCAAAGCAACACTAGCAAAAGGGCACACAAGGAGCCCTGCAATTCCCCGCGGGCCGCCCCGTAGGTCACATACTGAAGTGGGAGAAGACTGCTGGCCAACTCGCTCGAGTTTAACTTTGCCTAAATGATATTTAGCCACATAAAATTATGAAAAGTGGTGGGATAGTTACAAATCACTAATTTGTGAAAGCAACAGTAAATAATTTTATATTTAAAAAAATATATAAAATTTAATCTTCTAAATAAGTATATCCACTTTCAAATACTCTAAAAATATCTCAAAATGCCTTTGTTTTAAAATATAGATCTTCATCTATTTCCATATTTAATTTTAAATTATTAAGAGTTTGATATATTCCTTCTGTATCAATACCACCATCTTTCATAGCACCTTCTACAAGTTTTGAATCATATTTAACAACTTTATTTTTAAGAAACCCATCTATAAATGGTTTAAATAATTCTTCTCTTCTTTCTTTTGTTATTTCATGTTTTCTGTGTAATGTTTCAATATGGTTTTTTGCAAGATTTTCTAGGAATTCTTTTTTTACTTCTTTCATTTCTTTAAATTCTGAGAGTATATACTCATCTTGTAAAAATTCAAACATTTCTTTTAGTAATTCTCTAGCAAGACGTTTTACATCTTTTTGTTTAATAATAACAGCTGCCATTTTATTTATATGATTATATTATTTTATTCCTTTATGAAAAATCCAATATATTACTCCAGTTAGGTAACCTAATACTTCACTATTTATTGGAGAGTCAAATGTGTATACACATCCTCTTCCAATTTTGTAATCTTTGTGAAAAGATTTAAAAGCTCTGTAAAAAATTAGATGATTATTTAGAATAGGATTATTAGATTTAATAGATCTATCTTCTATTCTATAAATTATTTTTTCTATATTTATATTTTCTTTAAAATAAATTTCTTATAAATATCTATAAATGAGTGATGTTTTTATAAGATTTTCAGGATAGGGAAGATGGTTATGTAAAGGATAATAATAGTTAACATAATGAACAATTGTGTTTAGCATTTTATATATTAATTTATATTAATTTTTAATACATAATTGTAAAAGATTAATTGATCCATAACCATCGTTTAAATATTTTTTAGATATTTTTATTACTTTATTAATTTCTTCTAAAGTAAGATTATGACGATTATTAATATCTTCTTTAAAATTATATCTGCTTATTTCATCATAATCTTTTCCATGTTTTATTATTCTAGGAGGTGGATAATTAAATAAATAATAATATAAAAGATGGCATTTATCCTCTTTACAGGAATCTAAAAATTCTTTTAACATCTTATCAGTTTGTAAAATATATTTTTTTTATTAATATTATTTCCAACTTCAAATCTTTGACAAGGATAATTTTCTTTTTCAAATATTAAAACATAAATTTGTCTAGAAGAAAAATTATTCATTTTTATATTTACTTTTATATCTTTAAATATTTAATATCATTTTTTAATAAATAAAGGCTTAAAGAAATAAAAATAATAAATAAAATGCTTAAAAAAACATTTATTAACAATCAACTTGGAATTAAGTTTAATTCGTACATTGATAATAAATTAAGGGTCTGGTTCAAATCTAAAGAAGTTACTCAGATACTTGGGTATAAAGATACAAATGATGCTATAAGAAAACATGTAAGTGAAAATAATAAAAGAACTTTTCTTTTAACCTGCCCCAGTGATTCGCCGGGTCAGGTATTTAAAGATAAAAAAAGCAGCCCCCCTGAAACGGGGTGTCAGGTCCAAGGCAGATGGTTTATATTTATAAACGAAGCAGGATTTTATGAATTAGTTTTTAGATCAAGATTACCTGCTGCAAAAATGTTTCGTGAGTGGACATTTACTAAGGTATTACCTTGTATTCGTAAATTTGGTTATTATAAAATTAAAGATTGTAAAAAACAAAGAATAATAATTGAAGGAGTGAAGTACTACAAACATCCTGTTTTTAGTAATTATGCCGCATCAAGAAATGGAGATGTTATAAATTTAAAAAATAAAAGAATTTTAAAGATGTTAAATAATGGAATAGGTTATTTATTTTTTAAAATTTGTGATAAAAAACTTGAAAAACCTATAAATTACTATCAACACAGATTTGTGTACGAGGTTTTTCGAGGACCAATACCACGATGCTTTGAAGTGGATCACATTAACGAGATTAAGTCTGATAATAGGCTAAAAAATCTTCAACTACTTACTCGTAAACAAAATGTTGGAAAAAGTAAAAATANAATATTAAAACATAAATTTGTCTAGAAGAAAAATTATTCATTTTTATATTTACTTTTATATCTTTAAATATTTAATATCATTTTTTAATAAATAAAGGCTTAAAGAAATAAAAATAATAAATAAAATGCTTAAAAAAACATTTATTAACAATCAACTTGGAATTAAGTTTAATTCGTACATTGATAATAAATTAAGGGTCTGGTTCAAATCTAAAGAAGTTACTCAGATACTTGGGTATAAAGATACAAATGATGCTATAAGAAAACATGTAAGTGAAAATAATAAAAGAACTTTTCTTTTAACCTGCCCCAGTGATTCGCCGGGTCAGGTATTTAAAGATAAAAAAAGCAGCCCCCCTGAAACGGGGTGTCAGGTCCAAGGCAGATGGTTTATATTTATAAACGAAGCAGGATTTTATGAATTAGTTTTTAGATCAAGATTACCTGCTGCAAAAATGTTTCGTGAGTGGACATTTACTAAGGTATTACCTTGTATTCGTAAATTTGGTTATTATAAAATTAAAGATTGTAAAAAACAAAGAATAATAATTGAAGGAGTGAAGTACTACAAACATCCTGTTTTTAGTAATTATGCCGCATCAAGAAATGGAGATGTTATAAATTTAAAAAATAAAAGAATTTTAAAGATGTTAAATAATGGAATAGGTTATTTATTTTTTAAAATTTGTGATAAAAAACTTGAAAAACCTATAAATTACTATCAACACAGATTTGTGTACGAGGTTTTTCGAGGACCAATACCACGATGCTTTGAAGTGGATCACATTAACGAGATTAAGTCTGATAATAGGCTAAAAAATCTTCAACTACTTACTCGTAAACAAAATGTTGGAAAAAGTAAAAATAAACCAATTATTTCAACAAATATAGAAACTGGAAAAGAAATAAGATATATTTCTATGAAAAAAGCTTCAGATGAATTAGATATTAATACTGTTTATCTTTCAATGATTTGTAGGAAAAAATGTAAAACAGCTAAATCAAAAAAAGATGGATATAGGTACACATTTAGATACTTATATTAGTAATAGTATCAAAAATGTTAGAAAAAAAATAATTAACCAACAACTTGTAATTAAGCTTATATACTTGTTAGAAGTTTAATCTTTAAGCCTTTTTTGATTATTAGTATTTAAAGAATAGAAATTATTATATAAAATGGAAGCTATACTTAATAAAATGAAGCAAAAGTTGATTAAAGAAGGATTAAATTTTATAGACTCTTTCGAAGAATATACACGCAAAAATAATCCTGAGACTTACAAAAAATATTTAACTATTAAGGAAAAAAAACTTATCAATGTTTCAAACAAGTGGAGTAGATGTAAGCAAATTTTAGAAGATGTTAAAAATGAAATTAATGAAAGAAATCTCGATTTTTTAGAGTTTTATGATGATATGTTTACAGAAATGGAAACCTACATAGACACTTTTAAACCAAAAGTGTTCTTAGAAAAAGAAAATCTTAATCAAATATATGATATTGTTAATATTATAAATAGAAATAGTGAACTACCAGATAAATCAAGATTGAATTATAATTTAAAATGTATAACTTTTTTTCATATACAAATGTTAATGGAGCGTTATAAAAAATATATATATATATTAGATTAAATACGCATTTGAGTATTTAATCTATTAGTAAAAAGTCTAAGATTCTTTTAAAGATTTTTTTTGATTTTTTCTTGTATCAGATATGCTATCCAAATTATATTTAATAGATCTTAGATTACTAATATCATATTTTAATTTTTTACATTTAATAAACAAATCTTTATCAAGAGAATCTTTTCTAAAACTTAAACAAAACTTACTATAAATTTCAGCTTTTTCTATTAAAAATTTATAATCATTTTCAAGTAAAGATTCAACTCCTTTACAAATTTCTCTAGCTTCTACAGCCAAAGTTGATTCGTAAGAACTAATTAATTGATTTTCAAATTTTTCAAATTGATCCATTTTATTGTTAGTAATTTAATCTTTAAACCTTTATATTAAATTTTTCATTATACCTACTAACAAATCTATCTGCTATAGGAGACTGATCAATTATCATTTCATCTACCAACTTCATACGGTCAACAAACTCTTCTTTATTCCACTCATCACCTCTAAGAGCTGCACGAAGTTCAACGAGTACTTTTTCATAAGTAGTAAATGCAATTCTCGACATTTCAATTTTTCTCTTATAATTTTTTTTCTTTCCAATTCCCGCTACTATAACCCCAGCGCCATTTACAACTCCTAGAACAACAGGGTTTAGTGTAATCCCGCCAGTAATAGTTCCTATTGCAACCAGGCATATTCCAGAGATTGTAAAAACTTCATCAAGAAATTTGTAACTCTTATAACACTTTTTAAAACACCAGTATTTCTTATGATAATGTTTGTAAAAGTCTTTGAGAGTTTTAACGTTTGATTCTGACAGAGATTTATCTATGTGATTAAATTCAAAGATATCCTTCATTTATATTTATACTATATAAGATCCATTTAACTTTTCCTGAAGCATTACTTTATGAAATTGAGTAGAGTCAGTGTCGTAAAAGTTTGGAGAGTACATTAATCTAATTAACATTCCATCTTCAGTTGTAAACTTCCAACGTTGATTAGCATTGTATTGAACGGTTGGTATAGTTAATGTTGAGCTGTAGTTACTTATTGAAACTTTTGTAACATTTGCACTAAAATTTTCTGTTAGCCATAAAACAATTATTTTTGCATTAAAACTACTTAGCATGGTAAAATTTTGAGTTGTTTTATTGACAGTTAAAGTTACTTTATTGTTTGATTTATTATAATCCAATTTTACTAAAATGTTATTGTTTGTTGATAAATATTTAGTTAGGGTAAAACTCCTATTTCTCCAATGACTAAAAACAATACATAAAGTATCTACTGAAGAATGTGAAGGAGAAAAAGTCACATCATAACCATTAACATGTAACCCTTTTTCTGCTATTTCACTTAGGTCTTTATTTGGTGGTAGTGTAATATTAGGTTTTAAAGAATTAATAATAACTCCAGATGAACCTATATTTATTCCATAACTATCTGCATCAGCAAAGTCATAGAACTCATTAAAGTATTTTCTGTACAAAGCATTTTTGGTAAAAGGAATTAACTCTTTTACCATTGCAACTGTTGCAGCACTATTATCACGGTTTCGGTCAAGTTTGATATTTTTAATTTCTTTTTGATTTGCATTAATATCAACATTATACACTACTTCTGTTGGTTTAATATCAAATGCGGTGTGATAGTCGTAAACTTTATCTGGATCGATATTGCTAAATGTACCCACAATTCCATAAGTAATTATATAAACTCCTGAAAACTGCCACGGGTACGCAGCTAGGTCAGTTCCTTCCTGAGGAATATTAACCAAAATGTGAAGAAAAAACTTATTACCATATGACAACTTCCGGAAATTAACTATTATTCTGTGATAATACATAAATTTTGGTTGATTTTTTAAATCAAGATACCTATGGGATAGTTTACTTACACTAACATTTCCAATTGTTAAGAGCGAATGTCTGTAAAAATCGAGCAACCGGCGGCCACGGTCAAAAATTGAATTTCGCTCATATCTTGTCCATACATACTTATTAGTAAGTAACTAAACGTGGTGTAGTTTGTTTTTCAAAAGGCCGCTTGGATTTGGAGAAAATCTACAAAATCAATTTTCGTGGTCGGCGACTTGAAAACAACCAAAATTTGAGGCAAAATGAGGCGGTCTCAAAACTTCACTCGCACGCAATAAGGAAGAAAGCGTGGTAAAATATTCCCCGATAAATCAATTTATAAAGGGTTTTAGCCCTAGTATGGCGGTGAATTCTTATCTTAACGATAATGTGGAAGGTAAACAATTTTATTTTAGTTTTGGTTCTTTTTCAACTCTACGAAGTTTAAATTTAGACCTTAAGTCGCGATTTAATTTTTAGGCATGTGCTACACCTTGGTTTTTCCTGAAACTCAAGCTATAAGTTAGTTAAACACTGTACTAAAACATATGTAAGAACTGGCTTGGGTAATTTAATTTGCGCTTCAGACGAACCTTCTGAACTTGAACAAAAAATATGACGCATTTGCATAATTCACCAACGGCTTGCTGTTGCCGAAAGGGATCATTGGCACTTCTTGAGAAGAAACCTGGTGTACCTCTATAGTACGATAGTTAATTTGCCAACATGCAATAGAAGTTAACTTACTTTTATAGTTTGGGACACTTGCTTTACTTTTTCTACTCTCGAGCTCCAAAATTCTGCTGGCGCTAAGGCATTTTGTAATTTGACCTCTAACGAGAGGTCATTGAAGATGGGCCAGGTTATTAAAATGTCACTCAAACCGAATGAGCGTTATGATCTAAATTCTTAAGGTGGTTGAACAAAATATTTCACAAGAAAAATATGTTTTTAAGACATTTTCGGCGATTTGAAAGATGTTCTTACCATTTAATAGAATCAGTTACAACGTACAGGGACGGAAGTGTGAGAAGACAAGGAGTGGTGTTGCGTGACAACGAAAACCATCCTTCGAACAGCCAACAAAATTGTTTATACATTTCTTTGATGTTTCCAAAGTTATTTGTTCAATTATACAACAACTGAAGGGTTGCATAGTCTGGCTGCCAACAGTACTTGATTTAAAAGTGTAAAGTGGTGGTCAGTTTTTCGGACACCTGCGCGTGTGATAAAAGCAATGACTATTAAGGAATTTGGAAAACATCAAAATCATACACCCTGCCAGTACACACGAACACTTCGTAGGTTTTAAACTTTGAACAACCTGGATAAATGATCTCGGAAGCGTTTTTTGTTTTGAGTGAAGAATCACAATAAAAAAATCACGTTATTTCGTATGTATATTTTGGGGAAGGGTAGCTCTGAATCTTAGTTGGGTACTACCTAGTAAGACTCCGATGGTAAGACCGTTGAGGGGATAGAAGAATCCATCGAAAGGGTTACGCTGTAACTCTTGGTCAAGGATGTTAGGTAAGCAATTCGCTCTAAACCCTGTCTCCCCTTTTCAAATGCTTGCACAGGCTAACCAGCATTAAAAACTTACATTAGCAAACGCAACTAAGAAAATATTGCAAAGTTATTGGGGAAATGCTATCCAGGCAGGGCGGCCTTGTGAAGTGGTAGATGACGTAGCGCTATTTTCAAGTCTACAAACCTCTCCTTGAGTGTGAAGACTTAAGGCATGAGTTTCAGTTTCTAGTATCGAATATATACAATGAAAGAAACCTGGGGTCTAGAACGCTGACCTGTTCGTCTCTCATTCCTTTACCAAAAGATATGTCAAAGTATATCAGACAATTTCAGTTCCTCCTTACAGCATGCTCGGCTACTCAAACAAGCTTTAAAATCTGACACCAAGAAGATATACCGCAGATACAGCAAGTTAGAAAGCTGGAATCAAACGTGTTTACCAATGGGTTAGGCCCTGACGTCTTCAAATTCACGTTAAAATGACACTGTTTAGGCAAAAGCATTAAGTTTACTTTTCCAGTAAATTCCGTCTTGCGGCCTTTGACAACGGACCAGGTTTCCCGTTTCTCGAAAGTCCCGGTAACTTTTCGGGCCCGAAATCAAATATTCAAATCGAAATATAAAGAATAAGAGCGCTGCTCCTGGCTAGCAAACTACTCCATTTTGTTTCATTAACTGATAGTTTTATCATGTTAGATGCAAAACTATTAAAACCTCGATCTTTAATGTAAACGGAGACAACTTACCGGGCCCGTTAATTATCGGGACTTTCGAGAAGTGAGCATAATTCACCAACGGCTTGCTGTTGCCGAAAGGGATCATTGGCATTAATTATCGGGACTTTCGAGAAACAGGGAGGTCGGTGGGGCCCGTTTGTCCAAAGTCCCTATAACTTTTCGGGCCCGAAATCAAATATTCAAACCGAAATGAAAGGAATAAGAGGAGCGCGGGTCCTGGCTGGCAAAATACTTCATTTTTTCATTAACTGATAGTTTTATCATGTTAGATGCAAAACTATTGAAATTTCTATCTTGCATGTAAACAACAACAGCTTTAGGGGCCCGTTAATTATCGGGACTTTCGAGAAGTTTCAGTCTCAAGAACGGTACCAAAGCGCACACTCAGAAAATGGCAAATGACCGAGAGTAAAACTGAAAAAAAACTATGTGGGTAAAGAAAGCAGTGGTAGCGTTAGGCGATAGTTGACAGGGGCACCCAACGACAGTTTCCTCTTAAATACATTGAAAACCCTTTTAATTTAGGCTATCTAAATCACTAAGTTCTGTGCGGCGCCATATAATTATAACAACTGTTCGGTCATCCACAGGGCAACTTGAGTAGTTTTTTCGATCGAAATTACAAGTGCTTCAATATTATTTTTTTTGAGAATTTTGAAATTTTTTCTGATTCCTTCTCTATTACAAGTTTTGTATCCGAAAGTTTTAATTCCCTTTATATGGAGAAAACCTGTCTCGTGTAGGAGAGTCACCCTCCTAGCCGAGAGAAAAAAAAAAATTGACCCAACCGGCCTTCTCGCATGCTCTAATTGTCTCGCCTTGGCTATGCGAGCCCTTTACCGATACGGATCGGATTTGATCTAGCAATCGGACCGAAATGTCTCCTTCCATTTGACAAAATTATTTTCCCTGGGACCAATGATCTGTATCCTGCTTACAAGCACGATAACCAAACTCGCGGTGGCTTTGGTTTGGTCTTTGCAACTGGAATGCACCTTCCACTGGGCACGTGGTTTTTCCGAAATTTCAAACAGGAATTTTTGTTCAATGGAAAGCGCGTAAAGTGCCTACGGAGAAACGTTGGCCCGGCTAGGAGGCTGACCCTACCATTACAAAAGGGTGACTGGACAAAGTGGGTCACCCTTCTGGCCGAGCAAACTTTTTGTAATTTAAACGGTTCGCCATGTTTTCAGTAAGGAAATGTGTGAAACGTTGCCTTTTCCAGGGAAGCTTAGCCTGAGATCATGCCCTCTCCCTATTAAGGGAAGCACGGATAGGCGGGTGACCCTTCTCCTCGAGACAAATTTTCTTCATATAAGTGGGGCCTAAATTTTAATTCTTTACATTAATTTCAATTATTAATTATTATTATTATTATTATTATTATTATTATTATTATTATTATTATTATTAATTTCAATACAGTGGAACCCCGTTGATGCGACCAGCGTTGGGCCATAAAATCCTGGTCGTGATACCGAGGTGGTCGCATTAAAGAGGTCTTCAAAATAAAATGACTCGGAGATTTTCATGTCTGGGTGAAAGACTATGGGAGGTGAGCTGAGGCAAGAGGTGGTCGTATAAACGGGGTGGTCGCAAGGCGGGGTTCCTCTGTATATAAACAGACTGAAACAAGAGTTTGACGATCGAATAACCATGTTCAGATTAGAAAAAATATATATACTGAAAGAAAATTGCAGAATGTTTACGAAAACTGTTATCCAAAAAAATGGAACTTGCATATGTCAGAGGAAAGACAGCCGCCCGATAGGTAATAACGCGGTGAAATAGCTAGACATTGAAGCCTGAAGTCAATCAAAGGCACATACAAGGCAACGGGGGAAAGTTGACGTGAAAAACGATGTTTTTGGACTTATTTAGTATTGTATGGAAGCACACTTTAAGAAAACTTAGGAAAAAAACAAAAAAAAGCATGATTTGGATTGTTAGTAGCATAATATGCTACTTCTGGCAAGAACATTAAAAAAACGGCGTCGCTCAAATGGTTAGATTGGGAAGCCTGTGAATACTGTCACGCAACACTTTTGACCAGACTTTTATATCCAAAGAGGCATCGGCAGCCCGAAAGTTTCACTATCAAAATCGCAGTTTTTGTGAGACCTAGAATTTTTAAATGGTAATGGATGTAAAAGTGCGACTGCGGAAAAGATAGGCCATGTTCTGTTTGAGGTTATTTTCACGCACCACGTTTCCTCGAGTTTTTGGATCTTCGGTTGATTAGCATGGGACAAGGCGCAATGCCAGTTGACAAGAACGGGAAAACGCATTTGAGGTAACAAAAATTATCGTTTTAGTACAAATGTCTTTAATACAAGTGCGATTGTGAGTTAAGTTTCGTTTGGAGAGCCCAGCCATCGTGACTTGTCGAGCAACAACCAACCGACTTTCTTGAAAAGTCTCATATTTCAAGCAAAATTTATTCAACTTCAGAAGGTTCGTGTGAAGTACAAATTTAATTACCCAGGCCAATTCTTACATATGTTTTAGCACAATGTTTACATAACAAATGACTTGAGTTTCAGGCAAAACCAAGGTGTAGCACATGCCTAAAATATAAAACGCAACTTTCAGCCTAAATTTAAATTTCGTTTAGTCGAAAAAGAACCCAAACTAAAATAACATTGTTTATCTTCCAGATTATCGTTGAGATAAGAATTCATCACCAAACGAGAAGTAGAGCCCTTTATAAATTGATTTATCGGGAAATATTTTACCCCGCTTTCTTCCTGTGTGCGTGCGAGGGAAGTTTTGAGACCGCCTCATTTTGCCTTAAATTTTGGTTGTTTTCAAGTCGCCGACCACGAAAATTGATTTTGTCGATTTTCTCCAAATCCAAGCGGCCTTTTGAAAAACAAACTACACCACGTTTAGTTACTTACTTATGCCTATCTATGGACAAGATATGAGCGAAAATGATTTTTTGACTGTGGCCGCGAAATTTCGATTTTGCTCGATTTTTACAGACATTCGCTCTTAATCCTCTTGAAGTTCCTTTGTCAACACTTATTTGAGACTTATTCCAAAGGTGCTGATTCATGTTGAGTATTTCCAGACACAATGTGTAATCAGTATTTGCAGTTAACCTGTAAAAGTTGATTCCCATCTTATACTTATATCCACCTTTGGAATTCTTGAATATAGTCATGTAAATAACTTTGTGATTATAATCGTGAAAGTTTCCTTTTTTTGGTGGTAAGTCATCTATCTTAACTATACTTAAACTAATTCCACTATCTATTTCATCAGTCCATTGAGACCCACTTGACATAAGATAAGCAAACTGGTTGTTGTAATGACTTGGTTGAACTGCAGTTTTGTGAACTAGTTTGTCAGTGTAATCTTTGGTTACTGCTTCATTGTCATGGGTTGGATTACTCAAATTTTTTATTTTATTATTACCAAGATTAAGGTCCCCAGTCATAGTGACGGTACCATCTTTTTCCAAGTAATCACTTAAATCTGGACTTCCAGCATTATCATCCACATACTTTTTGGTTGCAGCATCTGTATTTGATGTTGGAGTTGCAAGATCAACTATTTTTTTGTTTCCAAGATTTAGGTTACTAGTCATTGCAACACTTCCATCCTTTTTTATAAAAGAACTTGTATCAGGTATTGAGTCATCTACATACTTTTTGGTTGCGCCGTCTGTGTCATTTGTTGGTGGTTTTAAATGAATTATACTTTTGTTGTCCATGTTTAGATTATTAGTCATTTTATTTGTTCCAGCAACGTGGAGATACTTCAAATCTGTGAAAGCTAATGGTGTTGGTTGTTTCGGACCCGCTGGAGCTGGCAGATTTAATATTTGATTATTATCCATATTAAGATTTCCTTTCATTGGGTAAGATCCATCTCTGTCAAGAAATGTGTTGTCTACGTAATATTTGTTGCTGGATCTTTAGAATCCTGTGGTGTGATAAGATTTGTAATTCGGTATCTATCATTCATATTAATGTTTGAATCAACTGTTAGCTGTGATGTTTTGGGCGATCCACTGGAATTATCATCAACATATTTTTTTGTAGCAGCATCAGTATTTTCACTAGGTGCACCAACATTTCTTAGTTTTTTATTTATCATATCATAATCCCCACTTGAAGTGAGATTAAATCCAACTCCTGGTGCTCCTTGTATTCCCTTAGCAAAGGGATGATCAAGAGATTGTTCGTTAAATATTCCCATTTTAATTATATGGTTAGATTACCAGTAAAGTTTTTTGCAATACGTTTTCTTGGTTTATCAACGTATAGAAATGAATACGGTTTTTTAGTTGCTGCTTTATAATCTTCTTTACTAACTCCTAACTCAGATGATATTCTGTTTGCTTCTCGCGATGATGGAAATTCGTATAAACAGTAATGAGAACAATTCAGCCGAATATCCTTTGGTGTTTTATAAAACGATTGACTGAGATACACCACAGAGCAATTCTTATGTCGTCCTTGAATGAAATAATGAGTCAGTTGTCTCTGGTTTTTATCGCAAACATAGTCATCGAATATCACAAGTTTTTGATTGTCTTCATAATCCATTTCTGTTACTGGGGTTATTTCGTCATTACTTACATGAAGTATTTCATATCCCAGTTTACTACTCAACTCCCTCATTTTTGAATTAGCTTTTGATACTTATCCTGTTCTAGATTACGCGCGTAAAGATAAATCTCATCATAATACAGTAGTGGTTTAATTAACATGTGGTACAACAGATTAGTTTTACCACTTCCACTATTTTCACATATTAACATCCGAAATGTGTTTGATGGCATGTAAGGAAATAACTGTTTATATTTTTTATCTGGTTTGTCATTGGTATCATAGTTTGGTATTTCCATTTATCTAATGAATAGATAAATGGATATTGAAGAATACAAAAAACTTGCAAGAAATAAAATTGAAGCTGAGGCTTTGACTCGACAGGTGTGAGATGTAATAAAAATAACAAAATGGCAAAAACAAAATATGAGAGAGGGTTTTAAAGAAACATTTAAACCACTTATTGAATCACAGGATAGTGTTAAAAAAAGTATTGATAAACAGCAAGACTCATTAATAAAACAACTTCAAGCTAATCCAACTTGCTCTTACACAAGGTCTTAATCAAAACAGACTTGCTATAACTGAAGGATTTGATAAAATGGATGAGGTAAAAAAATGGGAATTATCGCAATTACCAGGTTTTGAAGCAATTGAAGAGCCTAAAGAAGATGATGGAGTTTTACCCTCTACATCAGATGAGGGACCAAAAATAGCAAAATTTAAAGCTGAAGACCTCGATAGATATTTAAATAGTAAAGATTCACAAGATATACTAAAAACTAACGAATATCACAAACTCCCTTCTGAGTATTTTAAAGAAGATGTTTCTACCATTAATAAAGTAATTGATGATGTTAACGAAGATTTAGAAGAGTTGAGTGCAAGAATAAAAAATACTGCAGATTTTGTACGAGACGCAAACGGTTATGTTTTAGCTCAACCAAAAAGTAAAAAACCACGAGAAGAAACATTAGATTACATAAAAAATTATAACATATTAAGCATATATGCAACAAATTTAAGTAATCTTAAGTATTATAAAACAAAATCTGGCTCTGGGATTGTTTACTTTAACAATGCACATCAACTTCTAGACAGACTTGAATTACTCGGTGGTTCAATTCTTGCTGGTAATAATGGTGTAATACCTGAGTTTTCTCAAATAGCACATCTTCTCAACCAAATGAAAGTAATCTCAAAAAAACAACTAAATGATCTACTAAAAAATTATATACCAATTATATAAAAATGGAAGAACGAGCTATCCACATATCCTCAATAAACAGGGAAAAAATAGGAACAAGCAGACCTGGCGATTTTACTATCAAGTTTAATCCATCTCTAAAACTTGACCCTGATAAGAAACATGAACTTGCTCTTGATCGGCTGTCCATGACTTACTCCTGGTACAACATTAGAAGTGATTATGACAACAATAAAATCAAATATACGCATGATGGATCAACCTGGCAAACAATTACTTTTACAGATGGAATGTATTCCTACTCAGATATTAATGATTACATTCATCAATATATGTCACAAAAAAACCATCACTCAACAGACTCCAAAGGAGAAAAGGAGTATTCAATCAATCTAACTTTTATACTATCTACCTATCGAATTTTAATTTCAGTTAGTAATAACTATCAACTTGATCTGAGAGGAACTAAATTTGGAGACCTAATTGGATTTGAAAAGAAACTTATTACAAAAACAGAGTATGGAACAAAACTACCAAATATCACAAATTCGATTGATGTGTTAAATATCAACACAAGCGCAATAACTGATAGCATTGTAAATGGAATAAATACAAATACTATTGCTGTGGTACCAACTGATAATCTCACAAGGTCTTATCCATTTACGTTTGAGCCTAAAAGACCTTTGTATTGTCCTGTATCAACATTTCACATTGATGAAATGAGAATATATGTGACAGACTCACTTGGAAGACCAGTAAATTTTAATGGTATAGATTGGTTTATGACTTTGATACTCCATTCAATGTAATATAACTATTAAAATAAAATGATGAGACAATCAGAGTTTAAAATGAAACTTGACCCTGAATTGGGTAGATATACAAGACAACATATTTATGGAGAAGGAATGATGGATGTGTTTAAATCGGTTGGTAAAAAAATATTTGGAAAAACAATGAAAAAAGCTGCTAAAAGGGGCGCTAAAAAAGCGGTAACAATGGCTGCAACAAAAACTGGTGAACATGTAGGTAAAAAGGCTGGTGATAAAATAGTGCAAATGTTATCAAAAGAAAAGGCTGCACCCTCCAACAAAAAAGTTACTTTTAATAAAAATGTTGAAACAATGACTCAACAAGAGATAAATCAAAGATTGAATAACCTTCTTAGTGGAGGTTCAACACGTAAGAGAAAATTATATAATTATTAAAATAAAATGAAGTCTTTTAGAAATCCAAAATATTTAGATAGATATGAGGATGTTGTTTTTGACCTGGAACAGACTTTAGATGCGGCTCCAGCAAATAACGCTCACCAAACTAAAACAGGTCTTAGATTTGTTGCTGATAATACAGGAGAAACTACTCCTTTTGATTGGTATAACGCCCGATTATCAATGGATTTTAAAGTAAATAAGCTGGCAGATGGAGGAAACATTGCGATTGCAGGCCATAACGGAATTGTAAATGGTAGTAACTCATTTATAGAAAAATTAAGTATCCTAGCAAATGGTCGAGAAGTTTATAGTTGTAACTACGCAAATCATGTTGTAAATATGAAAAATCTTCTTGAGTATAATCCTTCATATGCTGAGAGTGTAGCTACAAACGAATTTTATTTTCTTGATACATCAACAGCTGCTGAGGAAAGACCTGCTCAAGCAACTTATAATAAAGGTTTTCATAAAAGAAAATTACTATTAGGTGTGTATCAGCCACAGTAAACTGTGAAATTCCTCTTAATAGATATTCTTTCTTTGAAGCATTGGAAGACAAATTACTTCCAAATACAAAAATTGAGCTAAATATCGAAATTGAAAAAGATGCAAATTTAATTTTTCAAGCTGCTGATGATTGTAGAGTTATTATAACAAGACTACAACTTTTTATTCCAAAACTTACGTTTAATTCAGAAGGGCAAAAGTTGTACATGGAAAATTATCTTAAACCTTACAAATGGACATATTTGAATGAAGTAGTTGAAAGATCAAATAATACACAGCAACAGACAGGACATTTTAGAATTACAAATGCTATTTCAAAACCAAGGCATGTATTTGTTTTTGGAATTGATACGGCAAGAATTGATGAACAAACGGCGAATCCATTTTTATACGATACTTTTAATCTACCAAATAATGCTAATATATCAAGATGTTACCTGGAAGTTGCAAATGGAAACGAATACCCAGATATTCACTTTAAACCTTCTACAGATATGTCAAGAGTTTTTAGAAATGTAATGTCATACGTCTATGCAAATAATGATTATCAAGGTGGAACATTACTTAATATAAGTAATTTCAAAACTTTATTTCCTTTTGTTTATTTTGACCTAACAAAACAAAAAATGGATATCAAAGATGGTGTTACAAAATTAGCATTTCATTACGAATTATCTGCTAATCCAGACGCTGATTATAATATTTACGCATTAGTCTTACATGAAAGAATAGCAGAAATATCACAACAAGATGGAAAACTATTGCTTAGGGCTTAGATTTAATATAATCTAAATATTAAAATAAAATGACTACTTATATAGAATACGGTGTAAAACTTACAGATGGACAAAAGTCAAAATTGGCTTCTGCAATATTAAATAAATCACCACTAACTCTTCGGTTAAAACATGGACATCTTCGAGGTTCTGATGAGTTAATGCTTACTCAAAGACAAATTTCTAAAATAAAAAAATCTATTGCAAATGGAACAGGATCAGATATAAAGATAAGTAAAACACAGATTAGACGTTCTGTAAAACATGGCGGAAACTTATTTTCCTCACTAGCATCTCTTGGAGCAAAAGTACTACCTTACGCAATTAAAGGAGTTTCAAAAGTTGTTCCTGCATTGGCTACTGGAGCTGCTACTGCACTTGGAGAAATTGGTCTAAATAAAATATTTGGAAAAGGAATAACAATCCCCCCACAGTTTTTCCCAATGTTACCACCTCTTGTAAGAGAATTTACCAAATCACAAATAAATCAAATTAACAAAGCTTATCAATCAGGTGGACGATTAGTTATAAAACCAACTCGTAAACAAATAGAAGGAGGATTTCTTGGAACTCTTGCATCTATTGGAATTCCAGTGGCAATTAGTTTAGTATCTAAGATGTTTGGATCTGGTCTTCAGGTTGATAGACATGGTTCCTCTAATACAGCAAATGTTTACGTTCCACATCCTCATCCTCCACCCACACATGGTGAAGGTTATCCTTATCACTTTCCACCACCTTTTTTAGGTACTTGGGAAAACCCAATTGGAATGGGGGTTAAAAAAAAAAGTCCAAGTCCAAAGGAAAAGGACTACTACTAGGAAAAAACAGCCCATTCAACTCAATTCCCATTCTCGGCACCATTTTGTAATTAAACCTCTATCCAACTTTGACCTCATGGAATGGATAAAAAGACTTGGTATTAAACATTTCAGAGGAATTTACAGTAGGGATGGACTACCAAACAAAATCAAAAAAGAATGTGGAATAATTAATCTAGATGATATAACAGGTCCTGGCACACATTGGGTTTGTTATAGAAATATAGACAATGTAGTTGAGTACTTTGATCCATTTGGACTAATAATGCCAAATGAAGCATTAAAGTATTTTAATACTTCTGGAAAACGAATAGTTTACTCAACAGATGAAATACAAAATCGTAGTACTGTTCTCTGTGGTTATTGGTGTTTATACTATCTGTTTGAGAGACAGCGGGGTAATAGTATTCTTAATGTAATACATAACCCACATTTTGACAACGACAACAGTGATTTTATAAAGTCATACTTTTCTTAAGATTAAATAAAATATTTTTATTTAATCATTATCACTATCTACTTATTTATTATTTAAATTTTTAAAAATTCCAATTCTTTTATATATAAATAATTTCATTAAAATTATAATAAATATTAATAAGTTTAAATTTATAAAAATTTTCACTAAAATTAAAATAAATAAAAATAAGTTTAGATAACTATTTAATTCAATTAAATTCTTTTTATCTAAAGATATATTTTTATTACTCTCTTTTTTTTCTTCATGTTGATGTAAATTAATTAAATACTTGTTATCTAAAGAGATATCTTTAATAATCTTATCTTCCATTTTATTACTTACTCCAAACCTTTAAATTATTTATTCACCATCTACTGATTTATTCTTTAACTTTTTAACCATCTCAACTTTTTTGTTTAGTTCTCTAACTTTATCAGTAATTTCATTAAAATTAGAATAAATATCAATAAGTCTAAATAATTTCTTATTTTTATCAGCATCTAAACTAAACCAAGAATATTCATTATTTCTAATTCTCATCCACATATTAGCCTCACCATCTATTAATTCTCGAGAAAGATAATCATTACTCTTTCTAAGAGTTTCAAACTCATTTATTATTTTTTTTCTTAATTCTTTCTCAAAATCCTTAATAGTTTTAACATCCATATTTTTCTCTATTTCAGCAAAAAATTTAGCCTCCATTTATTATATAAATAGATAATTACCTTTTACAACTTTGTTAAGTGTATTTGATTTCTCACTTATTTCCATAAGCAACTCAAATATTTTTATAAATTTAGTATCATTTTCCAATCTAGAAAAATCAGCGTATTCATAACTCATATTTAGGTTGTTATATATCTTTTGAAGTTCACTTTTTAGAAAATTAGATCTAGTTGTCATTTTTATCTAAACATTATATTAAATGAAAGAATCATATTGTATTGTAGATAAAAGAGTAACTCCTTGCACAGAGCCAAGTGGTTACCAAGCAGATAAAAGAGGTAGAACTCAATTCTATTGTAGATGCGCAGTTTGTGGAAACAAAAAAGTTAGATATGTGAAAACTGGAACAGCTTCTCAAAGTGGAAGTGGAAAAAAGAGAAAACGAAAATCAAAAAACTAATCAGCACGTCTGAAGGGGCGGGCGTCTTTGATACTGTAGTTGGCACAGCAGTTGATGGTTTTGTTCATTACGGTTTACCTTGGATGGGTAAAAAAGCAGTTGAAATGGGACGATATGGAGCAAGCGAATTAATGAGAAATAAAAATCTTCAAAAGAAAGCTGTAAATTATGGAATCAATAAACTAACTCCATTTATTCAAGATTCTGTTGGATCAGCCATGGACCAGTTATCAACCAAAGTAAGACCAAAAAATAAATATAAAACTGATAGACCAGAATTAGATGGAAGAGGAATAGATATTCACAAGCAGATTGGTAAATTACCAAAACCAAAAGGTGGATGGACCTTACCAGGGCATAAATATACAGGTCCTTATAACGATCTCGAAAACCAAGTAAGATACAATCCGGAAACTGGTGAAATATTAGAAATTTACGATCAACCAACTGGACCAACTGATGCCGTGGCCATGCAACATGATGTTGATTATAGTGTTTGTGGTGATGACCGAAAGTGTAAAAATAAAGCTGACAGAAAGATGGTAAAATCTTTGGATGCAATTCCTTGGAAAGAAAGACAATGGGGGCATACTTTAGCTAGAACAATAATTAATACTAAACAAAAACTTGGAATGGGATCAAAAAACGTAAAGCGGCGTTGAGTAGTGATTGGTCTCAACAATTAGCCAATGAACTTCACAAACCAATCACAAGAAACTTTCAAAAGAGATCAGTGGTGTCAAACCGAATTGATGATATCTGGGCTGCTGATTTGGTTGAAATGCAAAAGTTTAGTAAGTGGAATAAAGGGATAAAGTATCTTCTAATGGTTATAGATGTGTTTAGCAAGTATGGATGGATTAGGGGATTAAAAGATAAAAAAACTGAAACTGTCAGTAAAGCATTTGATGATATATTTAAAAGTAAACGTAAACCAAAGATGTTATGGACAGATAAAGGTTCTGAGTTTATCAGTAAACATTTCAAAGAGTTTCTAAAAAGAGAGGGAATTAAACTATATCACACTGAAAATGAAGAGAAATCAAGTGTTGTTGAGCGATGGCATAAAACAATGAAAAATAGAATGTGGAAGATGGTTACTGTAAATAACAACACTGTTTACTGGGATAAGATAGATAAACTGGTTAATGACTACAATAATGCGAGACACTCTAGCATTAAAATGACTCCTGTTGAAGCTAGTAAAAAGAAAAATGAAAATAAAGTTTGGTCTAATTTATACGGTGATTTAATCTACTTGAAACCTGGTAAACCAAAGTTTTATATTGGAGATAAAGTTAGAATTTCAAAATATAACAGAAGGGAATTTGATAAAGGTTACACGCCAAACTGGACAGAGGAGATATTTGTAATTGATAAAGTTTTACCAACAAAACCTGTTACATATAACATCGTTGATTTGATGGGAGAAGAAATTAAGGGTTCTTTTTATGAACAAGAATTACAGAAAGCAAAACAGCAGACATTTAGAATAGAAAAGATAATCAGGAGGGATAATAAAAAGAAAATGGCATTAGTAAAATGGAGTGGTTACCCTGATAAATTTAACTCATGGATTAGTTCTAAGGATTTGGTTGATTTTTAATACAAAATTTGTATTAAAAATAAATCCTATAATTAATAACTTTCTTCAGCTTCTTTAAGAATTAAATCTTCAATATTATCATTACTGTTATTCTCTTCAATATCACTATTTTCATCTTCTTCTTCAATTTTTAGTAAAGACTCTCTAGGTTTTAATGGTTTAACAAAGCACTAATGTACTTTTATTTGTAAAGATGTTACAGTCTTACTAATAAAGATTCCTTCAACAATCAAAGCCATTTTAACATTGCAGTACTGATCAAAATATTTGAAAGGATTTAAATCCTTCTTTCCTTTTGTTTTAAATAATGAAAGAATTTTCTTAGATTTTTCTGAGTAAATAAGTTTTGCGTAAAGAGCTGGTGCGGATGAATGATCTATTCTTGTTTTCTTCTTTCCTTTCTTATCTGTATATTCTTCCTGTTTAAAATATAATGGTGAAGATAGAGTTGATGCTAGATCTGCACCGTATTCATTTTCTAAATATTGCTGAGAGATGGTTGTTATATTATTAATAACATCAAAAAATGCACGCTCTTTAGTACTCGGCTCACTACCTTTAGCCCAAAGACATACTGGTATACTATAACCAACTAACTTGTTTGTTTCTTGGTTTTTCTTTTCATTTACTCCAAAAGAAAAAAGAACTGGAGTTTCAATTACAAGTTGTCCTTTCTTTCCATTTGGATATTTGACTTCAATTGGAATACGTTTGTATTTGATCTTGCTGTCTTTTACTTTGTACTCTTTAGGTTCATTAAAAACAATATTCTCTGGAGTTAGATAATCGTAAGCAGATAACTGCATTTTTATTTATAAAATTTAATCCTTAAGCCATAATTTATTTTTTTGGCCAGAGTAAATGAACGGACCAGAAGTTTGCCGATTCGGGATTATTATAAGTTAACTCACCTTGTTTATTTTTAATCTTTGTCGCTCTAGAAAGATATTTATCTCGTCGATCTTTGTCTTTGTGAATAGTGTAGTCTGGATATTTTGGTGATCCAAAATGAACTTTCTTTCCACTTGAAAGCGTTGCCATGTATTTGTTATTTTTTCGTGTTGAATAATCAAGCGATTCAGCACCAAGTTTTTTAGCATTTCGAACTAACTTTTTAAATTCTTTTCCACTAACAAGATATTTTTCATCTGGAATATAATCTGGATCCACATCATGTCTGTAACCATCATCAACTATAAAATCCAAATCCTCTTTTGTAGGAGTAGTTTCTCTTGATCTTGGTTCCATTTTATTATTTTGATTATATTAATTTTAATCAATCTGGTAAAAAATAAATAATATCTTCTAATACTCCTACTAAAATATAATCTGGGTCCCATTTTGTTGGATCAAAACCTTTAGTGCTAATAACATTTTCAAAATAACGTAATAGTTTCCCATTACATGATAACTTTTGAATATTTTCATGATAAAATCTAAGATATATGTAGTATTCTAACATTTTCAAAAAATGTAAATCAATAAAACTTTTTTCTTTTTCAATTTTAAGTAATATTTGCCTATTAAGAAATATTTTTAATTTTTGTATCTCATCCAATCTATCACAGTAATTTTTATATTTTCTTCTATCAGAACCAGTAGCTTTCTTTTTCTTTTTTGCTTTGTAATAGTTATAAACACGAGTTTCTAGAAAGTCATTAAATATTCTTTTTATTTTTTCTATAGATGTCATTTTCTTATTATAGAGTAACATATCTTTAAAACACTAATCTTATAACAAAAAAATGTTATAAGATTTAATAATCACTATCACTATCACTATCACTATTAGATAATATAGAATCAAGATCTCCACTATTAACTCCATCACTATCAGTATCACTATCACTATAACTACCCAAATAATTATTACTATTTTTAATAGTTATTTCTTCTATTTTTAATTTATTCTTAAATTTAGTAAAACTTTCAAAAAACTCTTTATAACCTGTATCATCATTTTCATACTTTTCCTTATCAAACTTATAACTACCTGGAATTAAAAATAAATCACCATAATCATCTAACTCTATTTCTAACCAATCTATAAATTTAACATCTTCTTCTTTTAAATGTAAATGACTAATATCTTTAATTCGACCTCTCTCCTGAAACTTTACAAATCTCTTAAAAAAATAAATCATTTTTTTAGCATAAGACGAAATAAATATTTTTTCATCTTCATCATCAAATTTCTTTACAAATCTTTCACATTCTTTATTTATTCCTATTATGTAAAGATATTCTTTTTTGAAATTCCTTGCATATTCAGGAATTTTATTTGAGTTAGAAATACTTTTTTGGAAATTCGAAAAGTGAGCTAGGACAACCATTTCTATAACTACTCAAGTTAGACCTCTTCGAGACCTATACCTTGAGGAAATAAAAAGGAAAAGTTCCCTACGAGCAGCAGAATTGGCTACTAGCAGCTGCTAGTTACGGAAGTGAGCTTCCTTTAAGGTGATTCCATAGTAAAAGAACCTAACATAGATTTTAGCTAAAACTTGGTACACTGATGTAACAAGTCAAGAAGATGATAAAAAAGTAATAAAAAGTGGGGGTCACTACAATAATGCGAGACACTCTAGCATTAAAATGACTCCTGTTGAAGCTAGTAAAAAGAAAAATGAAAATAAAGTTTGGTCTAATTTATACGGTGATTTAATCTACTTGAAACCTGGTAAACCAAAGTTTTATATTGGAGATAAAGTTAGAATTTCAAAATATAACAGAAGGGAATTTGATAAAGGTTACACGCCAAACTGGACAGAGGAGATATTTGTAATTGATAAAGTTTTACCAACAAAACCTGTTACATATAACATCGTTGATTTGATGGGAGAAGAAATTAAGGGTTCTTTTTATGAACAAGAATTACAGAAAGCAAAACAGCAGACATTTAGAATAGAAAAGATAATCAGGAGGGATAATAAAAAGAAAATGGCATTAGTAAAATGGAGTGGTTACCCTGATAAATTTAACTCATGGATTAGTTCTAAGGATTTGGTTGATTTTTAATACAAAATTTGTATTAAAAATAAATCCTATAATTAATAACTTTCTTCAGCTTCTTTAAGAATTAAATCTTCAATATTATCATTACTGTTATTCTCTTCAATATCACTATTTTCATCTTCTTCTTCAATTTTTAGTAAAGACTCTCTAGGTTTTAATGGTTTAACAAAGCACTAATGTACTTTTATTTGTAAAGATGTTACAGTCTTACTAATAAAGATTCCTTCAACAATCAAAGCCATTTTAACATTGCAGTACTGATCAAAATATTTGAAAGGATTTAAATCCTTCTTTCCTTTTGTTTTAAATAATGAAAGAATTTTCTTAGATTTTTCTGAGTAAATAAGTTTTGCGTAAAGAGCTGGTGCGGATGAATGATCTATTCTTGTTTTCTTCTTTCCTTTCTTATCTGTATATTCTTCCTGTTTAAAATATAATGGTGAAGATAGAGTTGATGCTAGATCTGCACCGTATTCATTTTCTAAATATTGCTGAGAGATGGTTGTTATATTATTAATAACATCAAAAAATGCACGCTCTTTAGTACTCGGCTCACTACCTTTAGCCCAAAGACATACTGGTATACTATAACCAACTAACTTGTTTGTTTCTTGGTTTTTCTTTTCATTTACTCCAAAAGAAAAAAGAACTGGAGTTTCAATTACAAGTTGTCCTTTCTTTCCATTTGGATATTTGACTTCAATTGGAATACGTTTGTATTTGATCTTGCTGTCTTTTACTTTGTACTCTTTAGGTTCATTAAAAACAATATTCTCTGGAGTTAGATAATCGTAAGCAGATAACTGCATTTTTATTTATAAAATTTAATCCTTAAGCCATAATTTATTTTTTTGGCCAGAGTAAATGAACGGACCAGAAGTTTGCCGATTCGGGATTATTATAAGTTAACTCACCTTGTTTATTTTTAATCTTTGTCGCTCTAGAAAGATATTTATCTCGTCGATCTTTGTCTTTGTGAATAGTGTAGTCTGGATATTTTGGTGATCCAAAATGAACTTTCTTTCCACTTGAAAGCGTTGCCATGTATTTGTTATTTTTTCGTGTTGAATAATCAAGCGATTCAGCACCAAGTTTTTTAGCATTTCGAACTAACTTTTTAAATTCTTTTCCACTAACAAGATATTTTTCATCTGGAATATAATCTGGATCCACATCATGTCTGTAACCATCATCAACTATAAAATCCAAATCCTCTTTTGTAGGAGTAGTTTCTCTTGATCTTGGTTCCATTTTATTATTTTGATTATATTAATTTTAATCAATCTGGTAAAAAATAAATAATATCTTCTAATACTCCTACTAAAATATAATCTGGGTCCCATTTTGTTGGATCAAAACCTTTAGTGCTAATAACATTTTCAAAATAACGTAATAGTTTCCCATTACATGATAACTTTTGAATATTTTCATGATAAAATCTAAGATATATGTAGTATTCTAACATTTTCAAAAAATGTAAATCAATAAAACTTTTTTCTTTTTCAATTTTAAGTAATATTTGCCTATTAAGAAATATTTTTAATTTTTGTATCTCATCCAATCTATCACAGTAATTTTTATATTTTCTTCTATCAGAACCAGTAGCTTTCTTTTTCTTTTTTGCTTTGTAATAGTTATAAACACGAGTTTCTAGAAAGTCATTAAATATTCTTTTTATTTTTTCTATAGATGTCATTTTCTTATTATAGAGTAACATATCTTTAAAACACTAATCTTATAACAAAAAAATGTTATAAGATTTAATAATCACTATCACTATCACTATCACTATTAGATAATATAGAATCAAGATCTCCACTATTAACTCCATCACTATCAGTATCACTATCACTATAACTACCCAAATAATTATTACTATTTTTAATAGTTATTTCTTCTATTTTTAATTTATTCTTAAATTTAGTAAAACTTTCAAAAAACTCTTTATAACCTGTATCATCATTTTCATACTTTTCCTTATCAAACTTATAACTACCTGGAATTAAAAATAAATCACCATAATCATCTAACTCTATTTCTAACCAATCTATAAATTTAACATCTTCTTCTTTTAAATGTAAATGACTAATATCTTTAATTTTACCTCTCTCCTGAAACTTTACAAATCTCTTAAAAAAATAAATCATTTTTTTAGCATAAGACGAAATAAATATTTTTTCATCTTCATCATCAAATTTCTTTACAAATCTTTCACATTCTTTATTTATTCCTATTATGTAAAGATATTCTTTTTTGAAATTCCTTGCATATTCAGGAATTTTATTTGAGTTAGAAATACTTTTTTGGAAATTCGAAAAGTGAGCTAGGACAACCATTTCTATAACTACTCAAGTTAGACCTCTTCGAGACCTATACCTTGAGGAAATAAAAAGGAAAAGTTCCCTACGAGCAGCAGAATTGGCTACTAGCAGCTGCTAGTTACGGAAGTGAGCTTCCTTTAAGGTGATTCCATAGTAAAAGAACCTAACATAGATTTTAGCTAAAACTTGGTACACTGATGTAACAAGTCAAGAAGATGATAAAAAAGTAATAAAAAGTGGGGGTCACCGTGCTCGTTTTGACGTCACAATGCTGACAAATACGGCTATTTAGGACACTTTTACAAAAACCGCGGGCAGCGCAAAACTAGACAAAAGGAAGAGATTTTTTCGATGATTCATGTGACAACACACAAAATTTGACTTTAATGTATTGTTTATCCACTTACGTAACAGAAAAATGCCTTTCAATGTCCTTGTTTTTACTTTACGCTCCAAAGTAGAATTAAATTGGACGCGCGCTTTTCGACCCGTGATGGCTCAATCCGTACAATTTAGTAAAACTGCCAAAAAACTGAACATAGAATTGTGCCAATTTTTTTCTCATCGAAAGGAAGCACTGTCCTTATTAAAATCATGAAATAAAAAATGGGGGTCACCGTACTCGTTTTTGCGGTAGAGCTGCAGAAAGTGCGCACCAGACGCATTTTCTCCGATTTTTGAGAGAGGACTGGGGCGAGTTTCAAAATAGAATGTATGTGAAAGGGGGAAGAAAGTATTAAAAAATCCGTTTTTACAGAATTTACATCGAGATATCACATTTAGGACACAATGTGATAAAGAAAGTGTTTAAATGAAAATCAAAGTGAGTAAGCACAAGTTAAACATCCACTATCGAGGTTCTCCGAGAGGAGGTCGAACTCAGCAACACGCGTACTGCTTACGTTATGCACATTCCCAACACATTGAGTCTCACCTCGGCAAGAAACAACAGCAAGCAAAAATTCCAATAGCGTTTCTCTTCAGTCAACTTCATTTTAATAATATTACTTCACACGCTCTTTTTTACGGCGGCCATCTTGTTATGCGCAGTAAGAGATGCGCAGTGCAAAACTAGGGAATCACCTTAATGTCCGGCTGCAATGCGGTCGCTACTGATTACCCTTCCTAG